CAGTCCAAATATTCTTCCTGCTCATGGATCGACTTCGTCCAAACTTGCAAAATCTGCAGCATTTTGAGCCAATTTTCAAAACAAAAGACACATACACACACACACACACACATGCTCTTCGGCGATTTTTGAGGAAAATGCATATGATTTTTAAACCTAATTTTTGACAAACGCATGCTTCTGGGGAGAGACACAAACCTTCACGTGATCTCTGTTTCGTGATTGGAGGTATTTTTCAATATCCGCTAACATAACATTTAAATCTTCTCCCTTCTTCTCGGCAATCTCATGGCCGACCCAAGGAAGGCAGTGTAAAAATGCATAAGCGAACCAGTCACGTCGTACCTAAATATTACCAAGTTTTATAAAAGACAGTCAAAAACACGACAGCACAATTTGTATGGTAAAATTTCAAAATGTGATTCGGACTTACCTGGGGCATATCGGTGCTGGAGGTGCAGTCAATGAGATCTTTCAAAAAATCAACAAACGATTCCAACGTAATCACACGGCAGTTCACCAAATCGGACAAAAATATCACCTGCAGAGGGAAAAAAACTTCATTAACATATATATGCAGATATTATATCTTGATATTATGAATCTTGATATTATGAAATCTTGATATTATGAAAAATCTTGATGTTATGAAAAATTTCTGTGTAGAAAGGAAGACGAATTCTGAATCGCTCTCTCAGTTTGACTGTCAAACATCGAGTCGATATCCTTAGGCATTTTACGAAGTGCTTGACTGGGAAGAAGATCGCAAAAAAGGTTCGTGGAAAAGTAAATTTCGAAAAATCTTAAATGAGGGGTGATTTTCTGAGAAATTTCAAAAGTTTTTACTGGAAAAATAAATAATCGAACTGTTAGAAAGAATTTGTCCACTTTTCCTAAGGTCGAAAATAAGAAACAACAGCTGTTTGCTAAAAAAGTCTTATGCCCAATCTATGTAGTTCTTTACAATTTAGTAAAATTAAAGCCAAAAAGCCAGCACAATTGGGTCGTATTCACCATCCATTTCACGGAAAAAATGCTAAAAGAATGGATGTTCAATTTCAAACACTGCAACATTAATACAATATCTGTTTTGATCCTTAAAAAAATTTTTCGAAAACTCACAATATATAAAGCATGGTCAAAATCATTGTCTTTCATCAGCTCATTCAATTTGGCGAGCAGCTTCTCCAGAATCTGAAACGAAATAACACGGAATGGAATACTTCATAATCTAACACATTTGTGGTGAGATATTAACGAAGCAAAGCACGTCAAAAACAGCAGATTAAATGGAAATATGGGGAAGATGAGGGAAAAAACGAGCAAAAATTTATTCAGTCGGTTCCTTGTATCACCGCTAGAAATTCTACTGATCTGACCTTTAATCATAGTTTCGCCTACAAGTGAAAAATGTTACAAAAAAACGAACCTTCTAGCCATAGGGTAGGTTAGAAGTGCATATGCAGTACAGTCAATGTCAAAGCGGATTTTTTGCCCGAAAATGCAGTGAAAGCGGATTTTTTGCCCAAAAAAACGAAAAAAGTGGAAAAAATACACGTCAGGATCACTAAGTTGCTGAATATCTAGCAAAACAGCAAAAAAAGTTTCGCCTGAAGCAACTATGGACCCGAAGTTGGGCTTAGACAATCGGTTAAGCACCAAAAAAGATAAATTACAGAAACGCAAACAACACCTCGCCACCAAAGTTGTATTTTTTGGCATTGAGCAATCCAACCAATGTCGAATATACTGTCAATTTGTCCGGCATTTCACAGATACTAAAAAAATGCATCAATAATTCTTTTGCACATCGATAATAGCCGCCGTCAACGCAAAACAAGAAGATACCACAGTTAAAACTTACAATTTGAGAAAAGAAATACAATAAAGATAAATAGCAACACGCACCAGACTAGCCGGCGCGATCATGCGTTTTGTGCAATTCAGCTCATCGAACGATTGCCTATTAATGATTTTCACTGCTTTG